ATGTATCTGTTCAGGTATACACGTATAGCCCATACATACATACATACATACATGCATACATACATACGTACATACATACATACATACATACATACATACATACATACATACATACATACATACTACATACATATACATACATACTTATACATACATACTTTTACATACATATAGATATACATAGATACCTCTAACAATAATATATATATATATATACACATACTATATATTCAGACATACACACATACAGGCATACATACACATACATATACACATACATATTTTTTACATATACATATACATATACAATGCAAAACATACATATGTACATATATATTATGCATGTACATTACTTCATATACACGTTATAACATATTTATCTTGTTCTTTGTACCTTTACACACACATATATTTAATATGTATATATATATATATACTATATATCCACATAATATGCATACACACCCCGTGATATCTATATGTATTTTATACTATATTACATGGAACCTGGAACCTGATCCCTAAACTCTGCATAGTCATAAACCCTTGACCTTATATGTTAGAGATCAGGTGGTGTGATGCTGCAGCCGGATGCAGCTGTGGATGTTGCTGGCACCTTTGCTGTGCCTTTGGCGACGCAGCCTTTGAGTCATGGGGGCTCGGGCTCATCTTTGTCTTTGGACTCCTACAACAGTGCGGTGGAGGATGCCCAGAATCCCAGGCCAAAGCCTGACAAAGCCTTGTCTGTTTCGCCGACCGAACCCGAAACCCCAGGTGCTCCGGCCAGCCCGCCCAAACCTCCGACCAATTTGGTTCCGACCCAAGCCACCGATGCTCCGGCCACTCCGCCCAAAGCTCCAACCAATTTGGTTCCGACCCAAGCCACCAGTGCTCCAACCGATTCGGTTCTGTGCCATGCCAGGCATGCTGCTGTTGAGACGCCCAGCAAGCCTAAGACCAAGAGCCCATCCAAGTCGCCCCTTGCGAGTGAGAGCCCACCCTCTTCCACGCCTTGCCGAAAGACCCAGAAAGCCTCCAAGAAGAGCCCGAGCTATTGGAGGTGTGTTGACTCAATGGGTTATATGAAGTTATATGTATGTATGCATGCATGCAGTATATATGTGTTACATCATGAGCATATTGCACGGTTTCTTTGTGGAGCTTTCATGAATGAGGCTTCGGAGATATTTTGAGCCAAAGAAATGTGGGAGCCTAAAGTGCTCTCCGCAAGCACTTGCCCTCTACAGAACGGAGGAAGGACGTTGCTGGACTTAAAGGTGCACTGCTTGCTGCAGGATACTCACAGATGTTGAATGTATTGGGTGCATGCCGTGTGGATTGTAAGGAAAGAAGCTGAAGGAGCTCTTGAAGGCCCATGGCAATTTCAAAGCGCTCGAAATGAACATATCCAAGAGCAAGAAGAACACGTACGAGAAATCCAAAGCGGGGGCCTGGGTGACGAAGCAGTATCTGAGCTCGGTGAAACATTGGACTCCGTCTATGCCTTAGTTGGATGCTGTATGTATCGTAGATCGACCCTATAGTGTTGTTCTGCAGTATGTTGCATGGTATCTGGTCGAGCTCCTAGGAAGATGATTTCAGCAGCATGGGCTTGGGCGGCAAACACAAAGAACCTCCGCCGCAACGGCATCCACGGCGAGGAGGAAGCCAGGTTGGTTTTGGACGACAAGTTCGAAGCAGCGGACATGACGGCACAAGAGCTGGAGATGCGGGGAACCGTTGATGTGGAGGACCCTAGACCCAAATGTGTATGCATGTGTGTGTGTTGTGGATATATATGAATCTAGCAAAATCCCTGGGCCCTAAGCACATGTGCATATCTCATACCCCAACACTTCAACTATGTTTATCGACCCTATGGTCCAACTTGTGTGGACTCCTTCATCAGCTGATAGTTATACTATACAGTATTATATGTATAGTTGCTACTAGCTACTACTACGACTACTACTACGACTACTACTAGCTACTAGTGCGACCACTACTACTGCAACTACCACTACTACTACGACTACTACTACTACTACTACTACTACTACTACTCCTGCTGCTGCTGCTGCTGCTGCTGCTGCTGCTGCTACTACCACTACTAGTAGCTACTACTACTACTACTACTACTACTACTACTACTATTACTACTACTACTACTACTACTACTACTACTACTACTACTACTGCTACCAGTACTACTACTAGTCCCACCTTCGTCGACAGCGAGCGCATTTGCAAGTAGAGCTGGTGCCACGGAACCCAAGAACGCAATATTGAAAGGGACTACGAACCCTCCGCTCTAGGCTGGAACTTGTCGAACCTTCAACGCCGGACTTCTGCAGCAGCATGTCCTGCTCCAAGTAGCTCGGAGCCCCAAGACCCCTAAAGCCATCCCCCGGAAAAGAACGTAGCCTTCGCCCAGGAAATCTGCCAGGCGCTGAGGTGCCTGGGCTTCAAAAGAAGTAGACCTTATATCTTACAGCTATAGTGACCCCTACAAGTATAGTAGCCCCCTTGTAATCTTAGTAGCCCCGAAGGTAAACCCTATCGCACCCTTTTAGAGTAAGCCTGATCTAAGTTATAGTGGCCTTGATACAACCCGTATCGTACTACTACCCCCTAAACCCCCTAAACCCCCTAAACCTCCTAAGCCCCTAAACCCCCTGAACCCTAAAAACCCAACCCTGAACTCCCTAAACACCTAAACCCTAAAAACCCAATCCTATCCTCCCCTAAACCCTGAACCCTTAAACCCCAATTTCTAGCCGCCCCTAAACCCTAAACCCTAAACCCTAAACCCTAAACCCTAAACCCTAAACAGGCACATGGGCTTCCACACCTCGCCGGACGAGATCCTGGACTGGCTCGAGGCTGTGGTTGCGGGCCTTAGGGTTGTAGGGTTTTAGGGTTTGGTCATTTAGGGTTTAGGGCCTAGGGTTTAGGGTTTAGGGTTCAGGGGTTTAGGGGTTTAGGGTTTAGGGTTTAGGGTTCAGGGGTTTAGGGTTCAGTAATTTAGGGTTTCGGATCGGAATGACGAGTAATGTCATTCCCTCAAAGTCCCGATGTTGTTGTCTTATAATATAACAAACCCTAAACCCTAAACCCTAAACCCTAAACCCTAAACCTTAAACCCTAAACCCTAAACCCTCTTCTAAACCATCAGGCCTCTAAATCAGTTAGGCCGCCTGCTTGATTGATGTAACTCCAGGCAAGTTCCGGACGGAAATCTTCCAGGTGAAATATCGCAAGCAAGATGGCCAGCGCCTTGTTCGGAAAGTGGTGTGTTTGTAGGGTTTGGGGTTCGGTTGTTTTAGGTGGTGTTCGGTAGTTGGGTCAGGGGACGTAGTTAGTAGGTTCTGAGTATATAGGATGCTCAGGGTCCAAACTCTATAAACCCTAAACCCCTTAACCCCAAGCCTTCTAAACCCTAAACCCCTAAGCCCTCAAGCAAGCAGTGACAGGCTTTCGGTTTCGGGCTCAGGGCTGTGAGGTTCCTGGGGGACTCAGTAAGTAGGCTGCAGGGTTTAGGTTTATAATTGAGGCAACTCTATTTATTTGTTCTGTCATCTACTTCTAACCCGAGTTAAGGTACATACAACCCTACTTACTAAGCCCCCTCAAACTCTAAGACTCTAAGCATTCATACAGATACATACTGTTCGAGGCCACACAATTGCTGCAAGTATCGCACATGGTTACTATACAGGACTGGTCAGAATCCCAAGTGACTTCCATACCCTAAACCCTAAACCACTCCTTCTATAGCGGCCGCACCAGCAGCCGTAGGATGTTTGCTGCAAGCCCCTCTCAACTGAATTTTGCATTATCAACAGGGAACAAATTTAGGGTTCAGGGTTTAGGGTTTAGGGGTGCGAAAGCCCTCCTAAACCAGAATCCCAGAGACTACATGCTAAAATCTGAGTTTTGCCTGTTTTCAGGCCTGGGCGTTAAGGCGTCCTCAGCCGAGGCAGTCGAATCTCGACAGTAGGCTGGAAGACCCACCACCCTAAACCCCAAACCCTAATGTAGGGGACGAAATGGGAGCTTCCGAAAACTTAGGGAACCTTATTTTGGGGTCCTTATAATGAGGATCCTACTATTTAGGGTACGTACTATATTGGGGTCCCCTATTTTCGGAAACCCCCAAATAATTACCAATAGTATTCTGGGGGTTCCTGATGATAAATACAGCACAGTGTGCCCCAAAACCCTAGTCTAAATTAATGAGGCCCCTAGAGGAAACTGGTTGGAGTTCACCTGTGGAGCCAAGGCTTAGCCATCTTCTTGGTCTTCGAGACTTCACAGACCAAGATGCTTTGACAGGACCGCAGACCCTAAACCCTAAACCCTAGACACTAAACCCCTAAGAACCCTAAACCCTAAACCGTGTCCGCTTCGGACAGGTTTCGGGTTGCAGGGTTAAGGGCTTGAGTTGAGGCCAGAGACTTCAAGTACGCGATACATTCCTTAATAAAGTTGACCTTAAGTCTTCCCCAAAACCCTAAACCCTTAACCGTAAAACCTTTTTAGCCCAAAACCTGGAACCGTTAGTCACATGGAAGAACGCACGGAGCATATTCCTTGTCGATGTTTTTTGGTCACCTTGGGTTTCATCCGTACAGCCTGATGAAGATTAACACCCCTTTAATTTAAAGCCCTAAACCCTAAACCCTAAAACCCTAAAGCCCTAAACCCTAAAACCCTAAACCCTAAACCCTAAAGCCCTAAACCCCAAACCCCAAAGCCCCAAACCACAAACGCCAAAGCCCCAAAGGTTCCAGAGCCAGAAGCTCCATGGCCTCATCTTAGTTTACACGTCCCGGAGCTTCGGAAAGACAAACCTACCTACACGTTTAGGGTTTAGGGTTTAGGGTTTAGGGACCCTAAACTGGGTTCTGGAGTAGCATACTTGAATACTTTTTTTGGGGGACCTGTTCCTTAAGGGAACCATCATGAAATTAAAGTCTATACTTTTTTCTCCCTGGTTACTTCAAAGTCTAGCTACCTACACCCTAAATCTAAGGTTGGAAGTATGGGCCCCTAATATTGTGGACCCGTAGGCCTTTCTAGGGACCCTTAAGGGTACATATAAGGTATATAGTGGGTATATAAGGATCCCAGCGTTAAGGGCCCATACTAGGTGCCCATGGGATCAACCTTAGACTAAACTTTAAACCTTGGTTTAGGGTTCAGGGTTGAGGGTTTAGGGTTTAGGGCTTTGGGGCTTAGGGTTTAGGGCTTGGGGCTTTGGGGTTCAGGGTCTAGGGTTTAAAAAGTTTAAGCTTTAGGGTTTATGGTTATCTTAGCAGTTGAGTAGATAAACTTCAACCTTGTGGGGTGCTCTAGCCGCTCTATAATCCCACAGGTTGACCTTTTTTCCTCCCCTAGGGTTTAGGGTTTAGGGTTTAGGGCCCCTAGGATACAAGCAACAAACTCTGAACCCCAAACAGGCAACCAGTAGGAAACACCTGCTGGGTTGTTCAGCGATAGACTTGCTGTTTGCCTTTTTCGCTTCTGGATTCCGATCATGATACAACTAGCCACCATTTTTCCAGTTGGTTTCTGAGCACGGAGCGGCGAAAGAACAAACAACCATTCAAGCACAGACGATAAACAAATGAACTTGCCCCGAAAACCGAAACCCGAAACGCTGAACCCTTTGGAAGGACAGAAGGCTGATATTGATCAGGGGGACAACTTCGCAAAGATCAGGCGACTCGAAAGGAAGCCCTTGACTGGGGGCCCAGGCAATCGCCTACCGATAGTTGCCTTCAGGTTGAGGCTGTACATAGGGTCCCCTTAAAATAGGACTCTAAAAGCCCTGAATTGTGAATCCTTGGGTTTGTGCACTGCTCTGGCCCCCTTCTCGAAGTCTTCCAGCACCAAGCCCGCTAAAGCTCTCGTTCCTTGAACTTAGGATGACATTGTTGTTTCTTTTCGGGACGGGGTGGGGAGTGGGGTTCGTCATCTTGGCGATGGTGCTAAGAGGGTCTTTGCTGCCGTCAGATTGTCTTGCAAATCGCAAGCAAGGGAACCGAAGCCTGAAGCAAAAACCACCAAAAGCAGCCCTTCAAGAGGGTTTAGGGTTTAGGTTTTAGGGTCTAAATTTAGGGTTTAGGGTTTAGGGTTGAGGTTTTAGGGTTTAGGGTTTAGGATTTAGGGTTTAGGTTTTAGGGTTTAGGTTTTAGGGTTTAGGGTGTAGGGGTAGTAAGTTCATGAGCCCCTTAGTTTAGGGCTTAGGGTTGCGAACCCCCCCCCCCCCCCCCCC